GAGAGAGAGAGAGAGAGAGAGAGAGAGAGAGAGAGAGAGAGAGAGAGAGAGAGAGAGAGAGAGAGAGAGATTGCTGCCTGCGTCATAGCCTTCGACCTCGGCCTCCGCCCACCTCCCTTTGCCTCCCCCCGCCAGATCCTCTCTTTCCTCCCCCGCATCCGCCACCTCCCATCCGCCTCCTTCCGCCATCTCCCCCCGCGATCTCCTCCCGGCAACTCCTCTCCACCTTTGCCTCCGCCTCCCTATCCCCTGTGTGTGTGTGTGTGTGTGTGTTAGTGAGAGAGAGAGAGAGAGAGAGAGAGCAATCGCGGCCTGCGCCGTCGCCTCTGGCCTCGGCCTCTGTGCACCTCCGTTCGGCCTCCACTCACCTCCGGTCGGCCTCCGCCCACCTTCGCCAGCCTCGGACCACCTCCCCGCTGTCTCAGCCCACCTCCGTCGGCCTCCCCCCGCCATCTCCTCTCCTCCGCCTCCGCCACCTCCCGTCCGCCTCCGGTTATCTCCTCCCGCCATCTCCTCTCCGCCTCTGCCACCTCCCGTCCGCCTCATCCCGCCATCTCCTCTCCACCTCCGCCTCCTCCCGCCATCTTATCTCCACCTCTTCCACCTCCCGTACGCCTCCCGCCATCTCCTCTCTGCCTCCGTTCCGCTGCCCGCACATCGCTATCCCTATGCCCGCCTTTTAAAAGAAATACAAAAAAAAATGGTGCGTGCCCACCTCCCCTAGGCCAGCGCCGACCTTCTGTCCACCTCTGCCCACCTCCCTCCCGCCGTTGGGATCGCCAGTCTCCCCTCAGCCTCCGTCCGCCTCCCGTCCGCATCCTCTGGCCATGTCCTCTCTCTCTTTGCAGTCCGCGTCCGCCACTTCTCCTCCGCTTCCGCTCACCTGCGCTTTGGGCTCCGTTCCTCTGCCCGCACATCCGCCATCCCGCTGGACATCCCATTGCCGCCCGTTTTTTTTTTTTTTTTCTTTCTTAACAGTGCGCGCCTACCTCCCCTTGACCTCCGACCACCTCCTGACCGCCTCTGATGACCTCCTGTCAGCCTTCGCCCACCTCTCTTCCGCCATTGGGATCTCCCATCTCGCCTTGCCTTCCCCCCACCTCGCATCCGCCTCCTCCCGCCATACCGCTGCACATCGCGCTGTGTGTGCCAACCCTCCCTTCCGCCATTGGGATCTCCCATCTCCCCTTGCCCTCCACCCTCCTCGCGTCCGCCGCCTCCCAAAATCCCGCTGCAGATCCCGCTGTGCGCGCCAACCTCCCCTCGGCCTCCACTGACCTCCTGTCCGCCGCTGCCCACCTCCTCCACCCGCTACCTCCCCCCACCTCCGCAAGGCCCCCGCCCGGTACCTTTGTTGACCTCCCCTCGGCCTCCGCCCTATGCCTCCACCCACCGGTCGGCCTCCGCCCGCTCTCCTCTCCGCCTCCTCCCGCCATCTCCTCTCCTCCTCGACCACTTCTCCTCTGCCCACCTCCCCTCGGCTGGAGGCCCACCCCCGTCCAACTACCGTCCTCTACCTCCGCCCACCTCCGCTCGGCCTCCACCCGCCCCACCTGCTATCTTCTCTCCGCGCGGCAAAGACAATTCCTTGGAGGGAGGGGAGAGAGAGAGAGAGAGAGAGATCTGTTGTATTTCTTTTTCTTT